CATTTGATTTGTGTCTATGGACTGTGATACTGCCCGTTTGCTCAGATCGAAGCAGGTGGTTTTCTTAATGCTACCCGACCGGAGCCTTCGACCGGAAGATCTGATTCACAAGGCAGTGGAGCAACGTCAGAAGATGCAGTTCCATAGTAGCCGGTGGGCAACAATATGTTCATTCGCCAATTGTTCCTTCAGGATACTACTGACCATATGCACCGTTGGTTTAAAATCAAGGTTTTCCAACTCCTATATGTATATCCTCCGTATCCACCATCCCGGTCAAAGTGCCAGACATTCGCTTTTTGTCCTCTCAATTTCGTAAACAGCAACCCCGCCACGAAAAGGCAATCAATAGGACTTCCCTGACAGTGGCTGTATACGCGTGACCGTATGAGAGCATTTTGAGAAGGAGAGCGGACTTTCCCCTCCCTCGTCCGTACCAGGGCATTTGGGGGCAATTAAGATTCTAATTAACGTGTATGCATATGTATAAATCATAAATTCTTACGGGTAATATTATTGGCCAGAACATCTTTTTCCAATAAAGGAAATATGTAAGGTCCTACAAATAAAGTTAACTTACTTGAATAAATTTAGCTGTGACATCAGAGCCGAATAAATAGCCAGAATCTCTAGGGATCACTCTGTATCCAGCGGTTCTGGTCACAAAAAGCCACACATTAAACCATTACGAAGGTTTTCCTGTTTACGATAAGTGGTAGAGACTTGATCACATGTATTTGTATAAATGAAAATAATATATTTGTAATATCCCAAAGAGTAGAAAATTGGATTTTCTGACGTTTCGTGACTTAGTGTAAGTCAATTCTTCAGAGAATAAATAACCAAATTAAAATTAATCCAAGTTTAAATAGTACAACGGAACAATGCAAGAATAATATTTGATCAATCAAAAACAGGTCTGAACAAGTTGATGTCATGTCATTTCTGTCAAGGTAATTCATAAGTGATAAGTATGTAAATTTGTGTGTGTATGTATGTGTGCATTGTTTAAGAATGAAAACTTGTGTGACCTTTATGGTAAGAAAGGATAGAGTTTAAAATTGTAATATGAAAGTGTGAAATTGTGAATACGATCAGACTGAATGGTTAGGATAGATGGTCCAAGTAGGATGTATAGTAAGACCTTCCTTTCTATTGAGAGAAGTAGGATTAAGCATTATATAGAACGCCTCAGCTATCCTCCTTTCTTTGTAGTTGGAAAAACCTTTTTGCAATATTTTGATATTTTTAAAATCGATTTGGTGGTTGTTGAAAATGGCATGAACTGCTATTGCCGATTTAATTTGAAGTTGGTTCAATTCTACAGGATTGTTAGGAGGTCTCTTTGTGTACCTAATATGTTCTTTGGCTCTAGTCACGATTTCGCGGGATGACTCTCCAATATAATAGGCATCACAATCGATACAACCTAATTTGTAGACGCAGTTCTGTGTGGACATGAACGGAATTTTGTCTTTCAGACGGACTAAAGTATTACGTAGTGTGTCCGTTGTTTTGTAATACACTTTGATTCTGTGGTGTTTTAAGATTCTTTGGATTTCTTCTGTTGTGCCATGACGGTATGGTAGAACTACAGTACCAATCCATGGCATTTCATTCGACTAATTGGAAAAAGCGGAGAGGTGGTCAGTGTACGACATGGTGTTGTGGTATGAAAGAAGGCTGTACAGGACTGGCTTCTGTCAATCATTCATAACTCTCTTCTGGGGTCCTAGAGATGGTGCAATACAGTGTCTAGAGACGTTATCAGACATAACTCAGAATAGAAGTCAGTGGCGATTATGCTGTAACTTTCTCCATAAATGAACTCAACTTCTTTAACTGAAGTTCTTTCTGGTTGTACTTTTGCTAACTGTACTGCCTCTCCCATGCACTAATTTCTGTTCGTTGTTCTCCTTTTTGTTGTACGCACTTTACATTCTCGATCTCTTTACAGCCTTATTGTTCTTGTGTGGCGCATATGTATTTGGTGCCCCTTTGTGACAATATTTATGTGTTCAAACCGAATAAATAAATGTCTTTTGATCTGCGAAGTGGAGAACATCATCTGTCTTTTTCTGTAATGTAGTATAAGTAGCTTCGCAGTCGGACGCCTTCTAAACACAGGTTTTTGCTAAGGAAATATTTCGAGCGTTCGAAATCTTGTACAAGGTAAGTCAGAAAGCTTCTGAGGTCAGTGACTTTCCGTCTTTGCTTCACTGAAGTATTCGCAGTACGTTTAGAATGTTCGAGTCTCATATGCAAAAGGAAATCAACCAACCTTTTTTCACAAAGGTATCACATTCCTTTCTATCTCGTTTTACTTTTTTTCTCTACAACCAACTTATTTCTGTTTGCGTGCCATTTATGGCTAAAACTTCAACATCCTATCATATTAAGACATTTTCCTATGATGAATTTCTGATATCTTAACAAATAAATCCTGATTTCCTATTCAAAATAACATTTTCAAGTTGTTTTTTTTAACTGTCTGTTATCATTTCTTATCCTGGTGCTTCGTGAGCTGCAGCAGCTATTATGTTGGGCTTATTTTTTGATAAAACCCTTCTAAGATGCCGTCGTGGTGGACATTTTAGTGAATCTTATAGGACTCCGAGCTTGTTTTTGATCTATATTGAACTCATTGAGTCAAACTGGATATTTAAGTGGATAAGAAAGACATGGGAAGGTATTGTATTTAATGATGGTTGAAAATACACTAATTATTAAACATATAAATCGATTGCGGGATAGAATTTCGCCAACATAATTATGTGATACGTTTGATATTGCACAATCATCATCATCATTAAGTTCGAACCGGAAGCTAGTAGTAGGTCATCAAGAGAACGGAAACAAACGAATGAGCCTAAAGACAAAATCTCACGAATACATTTCGCAAGAGGGATGATGTGTGGGGGAGTCAGAATAGTAGATAGGTGTATATGTTCCCACTCTTATTTTTATGGTTGTCGTGGCAATATACTCACGTTCTAGTCAGATCAGTCACGTGTTCTTGGTCGGAGTCGTGTTGAAGTCCCGTAGAATGGATACTGTCAGGATATCTTGTGTAGACATTCGTCGAAGGCAAATATCTGTCCCATTGGTGTAAGGGAGCAAACCTAGCGTTATTTCAACAAGAATATATAATCGACCTGAATTTTTTCGTAATGTAGTCTGATGAAACTGAAATATGCAATGTACCTGTAAAAGTTTGCTCTGGTTGTCACGAGTGATTCCACCTGTTCGTCTGTGTATTAGTGCACAGTACTTTTGGTTTGGAGAATGCAAAATTAAACGAATTGTTGAATATCGTAGGGCATCCCAGTGCTCTCATTTGCTCTGTATGAAAATATAGCGTTTTTTTCAGGACGGAATACTTGGGAATTTAATTATGACCTGTTTATGTTAAGTGTTGCGTGATAGCGGATAATTATGGATTGAAAACGTTCTGCAACGCGATTTTCAGGAAGTGTTTGACTAAACTTTCTAAAATGAATCATCTGAATTTAAGAAAAATACGTAAGGAACGTGAAAATCCTCCGAAGTATTTTCAATGTTCAGTCATCAATCAGAATACCCTGAAATATATTCTGACAACAGTACACTAAACTAATGAATATTTTGCCGTTACTTTGTCCAATGCTATTCAAGGTCACCGAATAAAAATTTTTTATTGCTGACCATAGAAATGACTTATTGCGATGGACGGTCCCCATAGTCCTCACTTAAATACCGACATTGTAGGCTTATTTCCAAAAATGAATGCAATCCAAACTAAGGTTGGTTATAAATGTAAATTCAATAGTAATTTAACAGATTTGAAAACTGTGGCCGTTTGTAATGATCTCTTGTAATTTCTTCGAGTTTCTCGGTACGTTTCTAAAAACATTTATATATAGACTCCTTTTCTGTCATATAACAGTAGTTATTTTTTTAAATCTGTCAAGTAGCAATATTAATACTGAGTCGTTAATTGATAGGCGTTATACTTAAATGAAAAATTTCAACTCTCAAGATTTAGTTACATGTATTAAATTCTACCCAAAATTCATTAGATTAAGGTTTTTGAAGACAAGTCGTAGAAGGTCAATAAGTAACCAATTCAAGTAGTCGTACATAGCATAGAATCTGGCTCGGTGTTGTCCCAATTTGTCACAAAGTGATAGCACTTCGAACAATAGTAAACTGATCATCAAGAATATGGTTCGAAAGATATTCAGAGTGCAAAATTGTGAGATAAGTAAAACTCGACAATTTATATACAGGTTACGAATTAGAACATCGTTCAAATGTAACCAATCTTCAGCCATATTTCCAGCTATGAATTACGGTTACCATACAAACCTTAATTAGGTTTCATCTGGTGACACGTTTGAGAAAAATGGTCAATGAATTTTAACGAGTAGTGGTGAACTGGTTGGTTGTAGCCAACTTTATTTTAATCTGCTTCAGTGTGCTAACAAACGGCCCTATTAAGTGGTATGTGTTGATAAACATTTGTAAACAAGTAAATCAATAATAACAAATGCATTCATGTATTTCAAATTAGTGCGTGCCAATATATATATATATATATATATATATATATATATATATATATATATAATGGTTGTATATATTTTTTAAACCGAAACAAAAAACTGACAGAGAAGAAATAAACATTGATAAAAAATTGAAGCAAAACATTGCAATTTGCCTTATTTACATTTCACTCGTTCATTATTTATTTCATTGTTTTCTAAAACAACTCTTCTCTATGTCGTTTACAACAAGTGTAATTGCGAACGGAGATTCACGTTTGACAAGAATAATAACACACTGATAAAACAATAAGAATTGTGTTAAATGGAAATATATAAAGGAGAGGATGTTAGTAATAATAATTTTAAAAACAACAACGATAGCAGTATTACTAGTAGTAGTAGTAGTGATAATAATAATCAGAATTAAAGCTGAATCGTATATATCTTCTTCGTATGTGCATACATTTTATGATTTTAAACTGTTTGCGTATTTCCTTTACCCAAATCTATGAATTAAAATGAACAGAAATTAGTGAAAAACGGCAAAATAGTAAAAACTAATCTTATTTAACGATATAGTACGTTAAAAGGAAATGATGTGAAATAATGTGACATCTATTTTTATACCATTTACATGTTGATTTTGCATGTGAGGATAAGGAACAATGATACTGCTTGGTTGTCTAAACCGAAGTTCTGAAGATTCGAATGCTCCTCAGCCACTAAAACAGTGCTAACTATATTTCTTAAACAATCAGTAACTCAATCAAAAGTGATAATTAATCAGTTTGGACAGTGAGTTGGAATGGAGCATTCAAATGTACAAAATATAATATTTATCCCTTTACAAGTGATCAGCAATATTTGGATTAAAGCATAAACCGATAACGCGATTGACTATATCGACTGGTTCAATAATTTTATTTAAAAAAGTTAATTTTATGAAATTAGTGCTCGATTGATAAGTAATAACTCGTTGACCAAGTGAATATTTATTGTACTAGGCCTTCAGTCACAGTATGTGCATAACGGACTAATGATACTATTTGGTTGTTGAAACTGGGAATAGGGTGGGATAGGATTCGAACATTCAATCTATTGAATAAAACGTAAATTATCACGGCTGTGGGTAATAAATTCACGAATACATCTATGTATTGTTGAGAGGTATCAACTGAAGATAAATTTGATAGCAGTAACAGTGACAGAGTTCTCAGTGGTAACTTTCATCACTTGCACTTAATAGTTCGTTGGGATTAAGACTTAGTTGTAAAGGTACAATGTATTCGTCATCAAAACTATCAGATATCATATATGATGAATTGTGTGTACGTGTGTTATAGGTGTATAATAATGCGTCTTTAAATCTGATTAGAAAAAGCTGTTTGGTATATCTCCCTCGCCCTTAAATTATTCTCTTTAGTTTCTAATGCTAATTTTTAATGTAACATTTTCATTGTAAAAGAAAGTTTTATTCACACAAAAATTTGGTTGGAAAATTTTCACTTACTAGCATGAACTCGTTTTACATGACCTTCTAAGTATTTTTTCAAACGAAAAGTCTTGGGACAATGTGGACATTGGAACTTATGATCTGAAATTGGAATATATATGAAGGATAGGCTAATAATTTGTTTAAACGTAAAACACTCAAAATGTAATAAGATAATGATTTTTCAGCAACAAAATAAACAGCCATCCATTATCAAGTGAAAATTAAGACAGTTTACTGAGGAAAATAATTTTGTTGATTTTTGAGAAGCCTTTATTATTTCTGATTATGCTGTGAAAGTTTGGAGTTAATCATTGAGAAGGTATCCATGGGGAACTTGAGTAATATTTAACCAAAGTTAATTTTGATATGATAATCAGTTTTATGGTGGTGAATTTTCCAAAATATAAATTAGTCAATATTGTAATTGTTGATATTTCAGAATATTTTTGCCAATACTCTGAACGAATTGGTTTCTTGTTTAACAATGACTTCAAGGTCCATGATAAACTGTGTCTATTCTCTATATCTTTATCAAAATTCATTGGTGGCTACAGTTTATTCATGCAGGATAACATGAAAACGGTTTGAATATGACAACTAATCGTTTGATCTACAAGTATTTATTTATATAGGCGCTTTACAAAATTGATAGCCTTTTTAAAACTATCCCACCTATGCGTATAAATTGATGCAATGCCCAAAGCAGTTGGCCGTACGTCAAATATAAAATATATGATCTTGTGATTCTATTAACATAAGCGACTTACATATTGTTACAGAGTCGAACAAAACTTAATTGGTATAGGACGCCTAATGTTGCCAGCATAACAAATATACTATGATACATTAGTATGCTCTACATACAAATGTGTTAAGAAATACCATTTATTAGGGAATCATTGTAATTCATGGATTCCAGGATTTATTTTCTTGTCTAATCTTATTTAACAAAAGGGAAGATCGTAGCTGAATTGGACGACTTTCTGAAGATTCCAGGACGATTATTAAAATAAATGTTTAGCGACATAACCACCTTAATACATATTCTACAGTCAACCGCTCTAAAATGCTAAGGGTTGAAATAGGCAAAGCGGAAGTTAATATCATGGTTTGTTTGAAAAATTCTCCAGAAACCGGGAAAAATGCAGAAACCATTCCGACTAATCGGTTTCTCGAAACTAGAAAGCAACTTTTGATAGTGTAATAAGACAAAGATTATCAGAACAATGTATATATAATCTGGACAAATTCAAGGCAAGAAAAAACAAAGATATTCAAGAAAATAATATGAAAATGTGGAACTCATCATTCTGGATAGCAAACTAATATGTTTTGGAAAACAACTGACATTTTCGTCGTTGACCTGAATAATTATCGAACATAATGGTAATTTGACTGTAACTTTGTTATTCATTTGAACATATAAATACTGGCATAAAAGTACATCAAATATATATGCACCACACAAGAACAATAAGGCTGTGAAGATTTTGATTGAGATCATAGTGGTCTAACATCGATCGGTTCACGATCTCAATTAAAATACTAATTAGTGTATGGGAGTGAAATAATAGTAATGGGAGAGGTAGTACAGTTGACGTATAAATATTGTCACAAAGGGGCACCAAATACATATGCGCCACACAAGAACAATAAGGCTGTAAAGAGATCGAGAATGTAAAGTGCGTACAACAAAAAGGAGAACAACGAACAGAAATTAGTGCATGGGAGAGGCAGTACAGTTAGCAAAAGTACAACCAGAAAGAACTTCAGTTAAAGAAGTTGAGTTCATTTATGGAGAAAGTTACAGCATAATCGCCACTGACTTCTATTCTGAGTTATGTCTGATAACGTCTCTAGACACTGTATTGCACCATCTCTAGGACCCCAGAAGAGAGTTATGAATGATTGACAGAAGCCAGTCCTGTACAGCCTTCTTTCATACCACAACACCATGTCGTACACTGACCACCTCTCCGCTTTTTCCAATTAGTCCCAGTGTCGGCAAATAATGCACGTGGGATTCTCTGGAACGACATGCGCAGAACATGTCCAAGCCACCGAAGTCGATGTTTCGAGGTAGTGATACTAACTGAATTATCGTCGCTGTGTCCGAACACATGATGTCGAGCCTCTGCATTACTAATATGGTGTTGCCACTGGATGTCAGTAATTCTTCGGAGATAACGACGACCAAACACAGGGAATCGTCTAACATCCTCAACTCAGAGAGGCCAGGCTTCACAAGCATAGAGCAAAACTACTCTCACCGATACGTTGTAGATCCGGCCTTTTACAGCCGGACTAACATCGCGAAGGCACCAGAGATAGCCCCGATTAACATAAACCGCTCTGGATTTTACTATACGTGAATTGATCTGATCACTCACACCACCACCAGCATTTATGCAGCTACCTAGATACACGAACTTCTCGACTACTATCTGCTCACTACCCCGGGTGAGTGCAGGATCTGGGTCCTTTCAGTTCAGATTGCATGGCTTGAGTATCATCGCACAGTAAGGCAATATCATCCGCATCCTCAAGGTCGAAAAGTCACTCTCCATGCAACATAAATCCACACCACCATCATTTACATCCATCAGAGCTGTATCCAGGACTTCATCCACAGCAAAGTTGTAGAGGAATGGTAAGATTGGGCAACCCTGTCTAACCGCACTGCTTGAATGAAACAACGGAGAAAGGTCGTTGTATGCCCTCACTCTACCTTATGTATTTGTATATAGGCCTTTTGTGATGTTAATAAACTTCTCAGGCACACCCTTCTTCAATAGACACATTCGATTAGGACGAAAACGTGCTTGTTGCTCGCGAATCAATCTTCCTCGGGTTTTGAACAATCTACGAAGTATGACGGAAGACAGTAGTTTGGACGCAATCGAAAGCAGGCTTATCCCACAATAGTTGTTCAGAAACGATGTGAACCCTTTTTAAAGATAGGGAGAATCATCGACTCATCCCGTGATGCTGGAACACTCTCTAACTGCCAAACTTTTGTAAACAACTCAGTTTAATAAAAAGAAAGTCCCAACCATCTTTGAGAAGGACTGGACGTAAATCATCTGGGCCTGGTAATTTGTAGCCCTTCAAGAGTTAGAATTCCTTGCAGACTTCCGTCTCGTTTCGTGGATCAGTCATCACAGCCCATGTAGGGTAGGACAGTCTGATTAATGTTGCTAGGGTACCAAACCAGTTGAACTGGTCCTCGAAAAACTTTGCCCATCATTCAAGACGTCTATAGATGATATTGACTGGCATCCCGTCATCCTCACAAATTGTTTCGCTCAAAACAAGCTTTTTGCAGCCTGTGAGTTGGAAGAGCTTACGCAGTGACCAGATGCAGCTGCTGCTTCCAACTCATCAGCACGCTCCGAACACCAGGCTTGTCGGTCCTTACACAAGCTTCGCCCAATTTCTTCGTATATAGTCAAACTTGCAATCACCTGGAGTAGATCGACGGGCTTCGATGAGTTGTAAGGAGCCTGAAGAAACCCAGTGGAACGTTTCGCGAAGCCGCAAGCGGCTTTACTCACCATTTTCATGGCGTCATGCAATTGCAAACAATGCTCATCTATACTTTTCGGTGGAATGGTAGCTAACCTTGAACCTAGCGCGGTTTGATATTTAACTGCAACAGAAGCTTCAACCAATTTACTGGCATCGATCCATTTAGGAGAATGAATGTGTTGGCTACTGAAACTTAAAATAAGAATATCGCAAACAAGGGCATGATCAGAGATCAGATAGGTACTCCAAAAGGAGTGATAGTCTTGTACACAACGACACCAGTGGTAGCTGATCACGGTGTGATCAATCTGAGTCCAGGCCTGAGATATAGAGGGAGAACGCCAGGTAACACATCGGCGATGACTGTGCCGGGATTTAGTGCTAGCTAGAAACAGGTTGCAGTCTGCGCACAGTTGCAGTAGACGGTCTTCATTATCTGTCCTGCGACTAACAAGCCTCCATCGGCCACCCAAACCACTCTTTTCTGTACATAGACGCCCAACCTGAGCATTCAAGTCTCCGGCTAGTACTACAATATCTGTCGAACGCACTTTCTGGAGAATAACAGTTAACTGGTGGTAGAATTTATCCTTGATTGCATCCGGACTGCAATCTGTCGGAGCATAGGTGGAGATGACGAAAAGACATGGTTTCTCACGCCGATTTCTTCTCACTTCGATGGAATTTTCTAGTCTAGCAGCACATAAGTGACTATTAATGGGGATCCAATGGGTCAGTGCTACCTCAGCTCTAGCGCTTAGTGCGACACCAATGCCAGCAAAACCAGACGGAAATGCCACATGATCCTCGGGTAAACGCGCGTGAAACAAGCCTCTTGAAGCTACATATGGGGGGAAAATTTGTAATACCTCACTAAAGTCTTGAATACGGGTCTCGGATATACAACAGACATCGATATTAAGACATTCTAAAGACATAGCCAACCCTGTCTGTTTTCCGATCTGCATTAGTGTGCGGACGTTGAAGGAAGCCAGTTTGAATGGTATATACAGTTTCAGAAAGACTTTCAGTATTCGTATTCGATGGTAGCATTCAATTTTCGACCAGTCAGTGACTCGAGATCGTTTAGATAGAACAGGGTTTCCACCACAGGAGAGCTGCAGTAGAAGTTAAAAATAAGAATACACTAAGTGAGAATAGAAGAGAGTAAATAAGTGACGTGGTATATAAAAAAATAATAATGAATGTGATTTGTTTGAATGTTAATTGAAGCAAGAATGTTTCCAGTAATAATTGTCATTTGCTTTGTGTGTGGGCTGTAATATTACCCAGGTGCCCAGACCGAAGCACTGACTTTTTGCTTCAGCTCTGAATACCTCAAACTCACCAATACTCTAGTTTCCTGTACATAATATAACCTACGAAGTAAAACATCTATATTTCCAACCATTTCTTCTCTGCTCGCAGTTAGAGAAAGGGAGATTTCTAAAGATAGGAAGCGGTTAAGATATCAATGTTTGGAGAGTCAAGAGTAGCAAGACAAATAAAAAAAACTTCTAGTTACAAATAAATTAGTATTGACAAACTATTCACCAACCTTTATGAACAATATTAGAATGATAACGTAATGCACAATGTGAATTGAATGACCGACCACAAAGTTCACATTTTAGTAAATTACCTAGGAAAGTGAAAAAAATTATGATACACATAACAATGATTTGCAAACAATTATTCTGCATTGTTATATATTATGTTAGGTTATAATAATATGTTAAAAGTGTCAAAAGTATTTGTACTCTTATTGCATCTTACTCAACTAAAAGGTAGACAATCAGAAAAATTTAGCAAGATATTGATCTGTTCGTGGATTGCAGTAATCAGGAGAGCGACAAGTTATAGGATTTTTATAAAAGCATGTGAATAGATAACGTGATTAATAGATATTAACCAATCCTTTTCAATTATTTATAAGGTAAGTAATTTTTTGCCAAAACTCGTCAGACTGAAAGTCCTTCAAACGGCTGAAGCAGTAGCCATCCGAATGAAGAAACCAGAGCTATGCGTACAGAAGAAATATGTTCAGCCACTCCTCCTCCCCTGGCCAACATCAAGGCCAATTAATCAATCGTAATCTTAACTATTGAATGACCCAATTTGACTATGACCTTCATAGTCAATGGTAATTGTCCCTGTTATCTTTATTCATAAATCTTTGTATTATTATTATTATTATTATTACTACTATTACTATTACTATTACTATTACTATTACTATTACTACTACTACTACTACTACTACTACTACTATTATTATTATTATTATTATTATTATTATTATTATTATTATTATTATTATTATTATTATTATTATTATTATTATTATTGGTTAAACATCATTAATCTCCTTATACATGATTCATTCACTTTGCATTCATCCCTCTGTATTACGTCTTACTTATTTGATCGAATTGTAATTGCACTATTATTTCTCTCTCACCCTATTTGACCCATATTTATTCTGATCATGGATCTTAAAATTTCATTTAACATATACACAGATTCAAGTTAACATTTTATATTAGTCATATTAACATTAACAATTTTATTGTATTTTGTTTATCACAATCCTAAATTCACATGCTTTGAACGATGTACTTTACCCTTAACTTGGCCATTTTTCGGATTAATAATTTGGATATATAATTGTAGAACCTGAAAAGAATTTATCGAAAAGAATATTCTTCGTTCAAATACTAGTCTTTTAATATGACGGGGATCTTTAAACGATCAAACAAATGTATTAAAAAAGTGATGAAATTTACTTCATTTTTCATATGAAATTGCATACAAGTAATTACACAATATACAATATTCACTGAATTGAATATTTGTATAAGATAATCTTTCTGCAATGAATCATGTACCATGATGGGATGTGAATATTACAAATGAATGAACTGTTTCGTAGTCAAAACAGTCGTTTCAATTTATGTTAAGTAATTGCCTAACAACTATCGAACAGTATAGGGGTTGTAGAGATTATTAGGTTTTTGATTGAGATCCTGCGAGCGGGATCATGGATGCGCACTGCCAAGGAGGACGAAACGGCCGTCTAGTGCTCCCAGGTTTCCAATGGTGGTCTAAAATCAATCACTTCATGATCTCAATCAAAAACTATCGAACAGTTGGAACACAATACATACTAGTAGTTTATCTATCATGTGATTCTATATATATATTATTGGGACGGGATAAAAACGTGAAGTGGTTTTAGTATAGTGACTTTTATTTGAAAAAAATAAATCTGTACTTTACGTCACTGCCGCTTAATAGGATATTTGTTCATTATTAGTGTGATATTTTGTTTTGTATAAAATGAATTTTATTAGTGTGACGTATGTTCGGAATAATATTCTTCGTATTCACTTAGTGTGAACTTTGTTCAGTATGACATGAAGCATGCGTCTTTTGCTGCTTTAGTGTAACATCAATTTTGTATTTTCCTTATATGTGATTTTTAGTTCGTCAACTGCAAACTGGTGGTTATATTTTGAAGGATGAAATAATTCATCATCTGCACCAGTGTTGTTTTCTTATTTGCGAATTACATATTACAAACGCTCTCCCGTTGCACAATACAGTAACCCCGCTATTACATGAGAAGTTGTCGGTTGAATATTCATTATAAACCAGGAAGCACTGAACCAGTGCTCCGTTTTACCTTTGTTATTCTCTATAGTAAATGACCACATAACATTAAGGATCGTCCGAGGTTGTAGAGACCATAGTGCTGAGTCAACCAATCAATTAGTTACAGTGTTTTTTGTGAATTTTCCGCAAAAACTGAAGAGATCCAAATTAGAATTAAACACTTATCCATCACATGTTTATCTCCAGTGTTTCTTTAACTGACATCAGCTTGCGATAGAAATTAATGTACACAAGTAATAATACCATCTTACATTAGTCTCAAGGTATACGAAAACACTTCGGTCAGTTACACAAATATCAACTTATTGTTTAACAGTTATGTAGAGGAATGAGCGTCAAACAGGAAATTTATGAAACAAAACAACATCCAACTTACCTTCATGGACGATTGTGATGTGTTCTTTTAAATACCATCGAGATGCAAATTTTTTGCTACAATGATTACATGATATTTTGATACCTGGATAGGGAGGAAAAATAGAAATTAAAACAAAATAATGGATTTACTTTTCCACTGTATAAACATACGATAATTATGATAGAGAAGTCTACAAACTTCAAACATTATACAAAATCATCCAGTGCGGCATATCCTACAGTTTAGAAATACTTTGACTACTGATATAAGAAATTTGTCGACTGCATGAATTCAGGTTTATTTCTTATGAAAAAAAGACATGAAACATTCATTTAATAACCGTTTCGTCGTAGTTCAAGATTATACAGTCGTACTAAACTCGTGACCATGCATGACAATTATCCCAGGAGTTGGCTTTATGACGAACACTACCTACATGTCGTGACGAAAACTGATTTGAAATACTTCGGGGGTGAGATTAATAATAATTTGTATGTTAAGTGCAACAACAATGTTGCTGAACCAAATGAAAGATAAAGCAGACATCTAACGTCGAGATCAACACAGGCTGCATTCCATATGGATTGATCGTTACCAATCAAATGGCAACACTTCGAATCATTAAAATGAAAATCATTACCATACATCAACTTCCTCGACTATGAGAAATCATTTGACAGCATGGATATGAGATCCTTGTGAAATTTTCTTCGACACCATGGTGTTCCTGTAACGATCGTCAACATCACTCGGAGTTCTTGAGATGGACTACACTGTAAAGTCGCGCATAGAGGACAGGTGACATGCATTTCAAGTATGGACCAGTGTCAGACAAGGATGCTTGCTCTCGTCTTGTGGTTGACTATTTTATGAAAACCTCTACATCTCAGGGAAAGCACGGAATACAATGAACAACTTAAATGCACCTAGACGATTTGGACTTCGTAGATGACCAAGCTCTTCTATCTCATACTCAAAAACAAATGCAGGTGAAGACAGCTAGTGTAGTAGCTGCTTCTACGACAGTAGGCCTCAACATACACAAGGAAAAAAGTAAGACTTTGTAATACAATACAGAGAGCGCCAGCCCAGTCACACTTGATGGAGAAGCTTTGAGAGAGATGGAAAGTTTTACATACCTGGACAGTCACCGACAAACAAGGAGAGTTTGATACAGATGTCAAGGGAATCATTGGGAAAACATGGGAGACATTTCTAAAACTGGAGAATATGTGACGCTCAAAACAACTGTCACCCTACCCTAAAGTCAGGATTTTCAGTGACATCCAAACAATTTTATTGTATGGAGCTGAAACTTGACGAGTTACCGCAATCGTTACCAAAGATGTACAGGTATTCACAAAAAGCTGCCTACACAAGATGCTCTAGATCAATTGATCGAAAACATTAGCAATAACCTACTGTAGAAAAGAACAAACAAACTGGCAGCTGAAGAAGCATAGGATACAATTTGTCGAAACCATCGAACGAGGCAAGCCCTAACTTTGAATCTTCAGGGAAAAAGGAAAACAATGAGTGAATAACATATGGAGCCGGAATTTGAAGACAGAGATCAGAACCATGAATAGCACTTGATGAAAGCTGGAAAGAGGAGCGAAGACAAAGTTGTTTGGAGACCCTTAGAGGGCAGCCTATTCCTTCAAAAGGAGGAAAGATTCAAGTATATATATATATATATATATATATATATATATATATATATATATATATATATATATATAAGCAGTTTAAAAATCCTCAGACAATATTCAAAAATAAAGAATATTTGAGCGAACAATTGTTTTCAATAACTTCATCATAAGACTCTGCAGTTATAGGTCCATAATAATAGTTATAATAATATATATATTAATCAAATGCAAACTAATATACAAATAGTATGGATTGTCAAGTAGTATACAAAAAAGTATACTTTAAAAATGATTCATTGGACATGTAAGAACCCCTGGAAAATAGATTGTGTAAAACATTTGAACATTCAATAGTGATATAAATTGATCATCCTAAAGTACTTATAGTGGAGTAATTATTTTCAGTAAGTAAATAATTTTGGATACCGTAGGGGTTCAATATTGGTGGTGGATAGAACCAACATTTTTGTTCCTTTGGATGATTTTAACATTGATGTCTAACGACTCTGTCAAGTATTTTTTTCTATTTCGTATAACAAAATTGTTGGTAATGATTACCTTTAAAACCTGACTGACCACTGATAACTCATTTGGAGTCCTAGGCAGAAATCACGTTGGGTTAAAACCAAACAGTAAACTTTGCAATGCTTTGCTTTAATTAGAAAGTCGAACTTTCTTGGTCTGCCAGTTCTGAGTTAGCTTTTGAGTGCCATACCAGAGAAATGTAGCCGCTTGACTCAAAACGGAAGAAGTCCTTGTGCGTTGGTGACTGCACGACATCAACAAATGAAATTACCGATCGTCGATGAGCTTCAAGATCTAATAAACTTGATCCCCACCAAACCAAAAAGTGGCATAGACCTCAGTCATCAACCAGACTGACACGTATCTGATTTTGGCCCTTGGACATAATCCTTGTCACAAAAAATGCCTTTGCCTACACTAATTTCCCACTGATAACAATAGCCATTTAGTGAGAATATTCAAAATCTTACCAACTCACACTTTAATGATGTGGTCAAATTTCTTGCTTATTTTTTTAAAATAGGGGTTGTAATTCTAAATAACATGGATGATACACAAAAATATGGGTATACGCAATCTTGTTTAACTTACCTTTATGAACACATTCTTCATGTATTATTAAGGTATGCCTCTGTGTAAACACTTTATTACAATAATGACATTGAAATCCCAAACCTGATTAGATAAACGTATACATGTACGTAGAACGAGAAGAAAAAATAAGATCAGGTTATTTAACATTACCATATCAATGATTATTCGAGGTTAAAGCACCATATCTCTTCCAGATATTTTTAAGAAAGAAGATTAATATTTTATAACGACTTTATACTTTTTAAGTAAACATTGAACTGGTAATTTAATAGATAAAACATTAGGCTTTTAATCACCAGGATTCCAGTTCGAACCTCTCTCAAATAGGAATAGGCTTATTTAGATATGGACATTTCAAGTTATCGACTAATGTATAGGTTACTCTAGTCTACATTTTCATTTATGAAGCTGGATGATTTAAGTATAATTAAAATGGATAATCTGTCGTTAAGTCAATTAGCGTAAATCATATTACACTGTTTTCGATCAAAATTTAAGGTTGATTAAAGGTCCAAAGTTCTCAGAAAAAAAGCACTATCGCTACATAGGTGATTCTTTACATCCACATACAGGCCTCATGTTGTCTTTTGATAATTTACACGGTTAATGGTGACACGATTCACTTAGAAATAACAATCGTAATTTGTTGCCATCCGTGTGATAATTTAGTACCAACCAGCTTTTTATTATCAAACCAACAACATTGGGTCATAAAATAATCAATATTTTTATTTTGATTAGGACAACCAGGTAGAAAAGTGAATAAACCTGAACTTAAATATCTACTAGTAGCACGACAGTGTTATCACGTGAGAATTGTTTTTTCTCATTTTTGAATAACTTGATAATTTGATAAAAGATTATACATTAACCACTGTAATTATTGATATTCTGGTGTTTGACTGCCAAAACAATTAAAAACTGAGTTAAATATTTAGATAAATCGATTTGAAATCATCCTACTAGTCACTAATTTGAAAATATAAATATCATTAGAAAAACAACAAAAGTCTGATGTTTTCAAAACGTTTATGACGTATCATAAAAGCGTAGTGTAAAATTCAATAATAGTAAATATAATTAGCTAGAAATTGTAAACTATTGGATCTCGACCTATTGAAAAACAATGGTGACAATTTCTGAACTTTGTCACAGCTTAAAAGTGTATGAGACATAATTCTGGATAAAATCAGGAAATACTAATAGAGGCAAGAATGCTTAAGATGGTTGGGTGGATATTATTATTCTTGAGGTTGTCGATAGTACATAACAAAATGGTGGGTTTTAAATTTAAAACAGATTGGGTTTTTGATACTCCGTGGTTGTCAAACGTTCCTCAACATATGATGAAAAAACTATGTTATTTTCTTATAACGTAAGTAGTAACATGTCTTATTTCCAAGTACAATAGAAAACTACGATATTATCAAATAATTTATTGATCACTGAGTAATAACCAATATCATGTTAGTTAAATTCTTAGACCTAGTGAAATATTGGTCGATCAAGTAGCAATGTAGCCACTGATTGATTCAAATCAAGATTGTGTGAGCTAACCAATTCTCGATGTGAGATAGTTCGAAGCAATTGGTAGGAAAACTTAGGATATGATTTTACATTAATTTATATTCATCAGTCAGTAAGGCGTACCTGAAATCTTAATGAAACTGATTCTCCCCTAAGAGATTTTAAACTGTATTATCCAGCGTTACACTTAAGGATTAAATTACCAAGTTATTCAAGTTTGATCTAATTCATCTCATGTAGAACTGAAAAATATTTACACCAACTACACATTTCCCGTTATATTTAAATTTAAGTGAACATTGTATTAAAACAGAACAAAATCAATAGGGTACCTTTGTGCACTAAATTTATATGATTTTTAAGTGAACTAGTAGACTTGAATCCATCGCCACATTCATCACATTGAATTAAAATACCTGTATAATTATCATTAAAAATATATATATATATATGTGTGTGTGCATAATAAATCAACGAGGAAAAATATGTTAATTCTGTCATTGCTATAGTGACCACAGAAAGAAAAACAAAATCGAAATTTAGCCAAACAAATAAAACAACAAATACATTTAAGTGAATTAACAGTTTTCATTACAGTCGATCATTTAACATTTAGTCATTAATTAACATGTTCAAACACTAAACGTCATTCTTAAAATTTTAAGATGAAATCATTCGACATTGTTTACATTTTAATGTAAATCAATGACACTAAACATTTTCTGTTTGCTGTCAATTTTTATTTCTTTCAGTGATGATTTTTCCTCTAGAAGAGTAAAGAGACAAGATACGTGTTCATGAATATATAGCATATGCGTTTATCAGTACTTAATATACGTACGGTAACAGCCATTACTGGGTGATTTTCAGTTCACTTGGTAGGTGAATGCTTCATAAAGAATATGATTTTCACTGAGAACTTTATTTCAAGCTCTAAATTTTACTTTATTTGCCTCTTTCACCCGATAAGTTAGCATACTCTACAGTGACGTGTTCACAGATGACAAGTCTAGATAGCTTTAGATGATTGAAATAAAGTATCTAGTGGAGACCATACTTTAATATGCAACAATCATCCACTAAATGAACAGAAAGACGCTCGAAAATAAAAGATTTTGAAATTTTATTAAACAGTGGAAAAGGACTTGCTTTCTCTACACGTGAGCAGTAATCTAATTTACAATTAAATAAACACAACGGTGTACTTGATGTTCAGGGAAATTTCAGTACAGTAAAACGAGTAACATTGTTTACATGTGCACAAATGAAGGTTAATTGCTAAAATATTTTAAAAAGTTTCGTATTTGATGAACAGACTGATCCCTATACACGTGGATGAAGTACACTTGAATCACTTAGGGGTTGAGTAACTGAACTAGGTAATCTCTCCTGACCGAGATACGAAAGTTACCCAATCACATTTTTTAAAATTTCTAACAATATTTAGATCATTAAGTCACCTTTGTTTATAGACTAATTCCTCTGTTCAGCATCATTTCTTGTAGTTACCAAAGCTCCAACAAGGACTATAACCATATAGTTAAATTTTGACTTGTATACGGTAACTAATCTTGAGGTAATGAGTCAGTTGTATTATCGCATTCGGACGAATAGAATCATGTGAACTTGAACCTTGGTTAGAAGGTTAATATTGCAAACGTTTAGTGTGTAGCGCACAGGGTTGACTCCATCAATGACGAAAATCATTAGTGGATCATGGTGCTAATGAAATGTGTATACAAATTGACCTTGTAAACACTATCAACAAATCACGTGATAAAACGACGTAGATGATAATAAAAGTAGAATAAAATTGGTATTTAAGATACACTCAGTTCAGATATGATAAGACTGAACGACAGAAAAGAAATAAGGGATGCAGCGGACGGATAAAGCACTGGGATTCGGCAATACACCGACTTTGAGATCAGTAACGTGACTCAGATTTTATAAGGCATGTAAAAAATACAGGGGGTGAATAGACACGTACGTACAATCATGCACAAAATATGATCAGGGCTATATGTGAAAACTGGCAAGGCGAAAGATATGAATAACAGCTGGAAAAATCAGAACAATTTGTCTGTCCAGAAGCTAGAATAAATCATGTTTCCGTGTAATAATAGAAGGGCTGCTAAAAATGATAAAACTCTTAAAATGTGCAAAGAATCAAATCATATATAATAATCTATGATTATAACCGTACTATGTGGAGTCATATCCGAAATCGCGATTTAGAACCAAAAAACCAAAAAATAAACACAGCATTACAGTAATTTACATAATTACCGACAAACTATTAATCGTTTTCCAACCTTATTGTTTTATTTAACTAAACCAAAAATAAACATGGAAAAATAGATGCACAATGAACAGAAAGTCAAAATGTTACTCAATGATCAAACTACCTTCATGAATAACTTTCACATGTTCATTCAAATAAGACTTTGTCTTGAATTTCTTTTCACAATGTTCACATGCGAACTTTTCGCCTAATTGTAAAGCCGGAAGAGTGAGAAACAAATAAATTAAACCAATTTTTAAACAAATTAAATCAAAATATATTAGCCAACTGTGAAATCGAATAGATTTAACTACTGCTGTAAGACTTACCCGAAAAGCTTACTTGACGTCAAATGTAGTCAAAGGGCTACCTACCTTAACTACTCGGAGTATTTACGTATGAAAATATATGAATGATGTTTGGGTCTACAATAAATGATAATTAGTTTATGTTGAAATCACACTCAATATGGTGAACTCAGCAAAAACAGTCGAATCTCAACGCACACAGGCACAAAATGACTGGTTCAATAAGACCAAAACGAAAAACTTTCATAAAGCACTAAAACCGATTACGATCCACCGATAAAGAGCAAGAAACAAATTCGAGTTACTCATAAGTAGTATAGTTATAGCAACAACAACTACCGTTTACAGGTGATATTTATATCCATGTTTCACAAACACTTGCACTATCCAGTAAACCATACACACAAACCGAAACTGACTGTCTACACTTTAAATACACTGTAAGACTTAAAGACAGAGTTGTATTTCATGACGAAGTAATGAATAAAAGGACTATCTGATTTACACATCTATATGCACGAATTAATTAAAGACCAAATATTTTATCACGCACCCTTTATCATACCGTGAAAATAACATGGCACAATAGTAACAAATAAAAAATAATATTCGTCAACTAAATAAAACAATTTGAGACCAACCATATATAAGCTATTTGTATAAGCATTCTGAAACTACTGACTAATGTATTCAGCAGTTATGCAATTTAACCACTTTCATTCTTAAAGTTGGAAATATGGCACTTGTGAAAACTATAATTTTATTATCAAACTGGTAATTCTAATAGTTGAATTCATGAGTTAATTGAAGCTAGACCACCATGGAAAACCTGGAAGGCCGTTTATTCCTAGTATAGGACTCCTCAGCAGTGCGCATTCACGATCCCACCCCGCGACGCCAAAGTAATTAATAACTTTAAAATCAGCTTGAATAGGATTGGAATTTACATTATCAAGTGAAAACAAACTTAGTCACTACATGACTTTCTTGATTTCACCGAAAGCAGCTTAGCAAGTCACAGACCAATTCCACTTTACATTCTTCGCCAGAAGCTTATTCAAGGGGACACGTAATTGATGAAGGTTCGGAATAAAAGATCTATAATGATTAACTAGTCCCAGAAAGGATCATAGTGTGGGGACATCCGTCGGTCTGGGCATAGTTTTCACTGCCTGGGTATTCTCTAGATCTGGTCTTCTACCATCTTTGTCGATTATAAATCCGAGGTAGCGTAATTTTTGCATACAAAAGTTACATTTCTCTGGACGAAGCCGAAGTCCATATTCGGCTATTCGCGACAGCACCTGGTCGAGCTTTGTTATAACTCTCTTTCTTCTTACGGTTAATGACCCAGCTATTCCTATTGCTTAGTATTCTCGGACACCGATTCACTCGACAAGTCCCCAAATCAGAACACGGTTGAACAGGGAAAAGATTATATTCCAAATAGCAAGTCAGAAGCACAATAGGGGAAAACGTCGGTATATTTATAGTTTTTACATAAGAAGATTCCAGAGTATTCTCCGACTATCGACTAGTGCTGATTGGATAAGAATCAGCCAATCAGCGTGCACCAAAACAATCATGCATTGAGCATGCTTTAATCTAGTCTATGTCCCGCTAACAAGCTTCTTTTCTAAGTCTATTCTATCTACTCCCATAATTATTATATCATCCAGATAAGCTGCAGCACCTGGAACATCCTGTATCATACTATCCATTACCTGCTGAAATACAGATGGGGCCGTCTTGACTCCGAAGGGTAGTCGATTATACCGGAATAGGCCCTTGTGTGTGTTTATGGTGAGCAGATTTTTACACTCGTCAGCAACATGAATTTGTAAATAAGATTCCGATAAATCCAACTTTGCAAATAGCTTACCTCCATTTCGTTTAGTAAAAAGATCTTCAGGTAAGGGTAATGGATACTGATGAGTTTTTAAGGCTTCATTCAACCCGGTTGAGTAATCAGTACATAAACGGACGCTACCATTAGTCTTCTCTACTACTACTATCGGTGCGGCCCATTCTGAGAAATTCACCAGTTCAATGACACCCAGAATATGATACGGGTCTTTTTGATCGAAACACCGATCTTGATCCCTGTCGAAGGGTAAGAGCAACTTTAAATTTAGTGCATTCTCCAAGACCATCACTAAATACCACTTCATGTCGTTTTAATAATGCTTCTACTGAGTTTTTCTCATCGACTTTCGACGTACTGACGTTGTTACAGATCGAGTTTATGGGATGGTCTATTAACTTCAAATTTTCTGTCCAATCAAGCCCCAATAAGTCGAGTGCTGGACGGTCTGTCGAAAATATTACACCTTTCTCCGTAAACTCTTTGACTGTGACTTCACAATGAATTTCACCAGCAATACTTAGAATTCCTCCGGATGCACTATGTGCTGATTGATGAGTTGAACATATTCGCGGCATCCCAATTTTCTCCCACGTTCTCCTGCTTATAAGTGTTATATCGGAGGCTGCGTTTAACTGTGAGCGGGTGTCATACCCATTAATCTTGAGAGAAACATACTTTCTACGGTTATGAGAGCCGACTTTGTGAAGAGCTACCGTTACTTTAGCCGTTTGTTGCATGAATCTTTTAGGATACACTTTTGGTTGACGGCGTTTTCGGGTTTTGCAATAACTTTCTTTGTGCCCTTTTCTGGAACACGTAGTACAACGATGAGTTTTAAACAAACAAAACCTTTTGAAATGCCGACCGCCACATAACCAGTATGGGGATGATGGTTTGTCGCTGTCATTACGATAATTCTGCGTGCTGGAACCTCGTGAGACTTTTCTCTCAACTACATTGATGTGAAGGAACCGGTTGCCGTTCTCTACCATCGAGGTATCATGATTCAAATTCACTAACCTTTAACATTCGGTAGTTACTTCCTGCAGGGTCATATTGGGACAGTGTTCGAGCTTGCTAAGGATTCTCGTTCGGATGTCAGCATCTTCGGGTGAACGCAGGCTACAGACAAATACTAGATATTTAAACTGGTCTTCAGTCATGGAAGACAACTTGAACCTCTCAAATTCTCGGTTCACAAGTTCTGCATGTTTCACCCAGTCATCTCCTGGTTCCTTCGTTATCTTTGACAAGTCTTGTGGATTGAACGCTATATTCGTTTCCTAAGCTATTCTGTAACCCCCAAGCTAGGACTATACAGCGAGAGAGAAGACGCAAGGTATGCGAGAAGTACTTTACTCCAAGGTTCATTTCTGTACAGAAAAACACGGGTATTTATATATGTTAACATTCGTTAAATCAACATCTTATTTTGGCCAATCCACTAAAAGAAATATTATGCTACTGACCAATAGTAGCACGCCACGTTGATATTCTAGGAAGCTTCGTCATGCTCTGATTGGCTAGGACTCTTCGGCTCCTTTAGGGCTTCTGGAGGTTCCGTTGCAGTTCTCGGAAAGCCGACTCAACACCTCCCTCGAATAAGATTTCTTTCTATGGTAGCTTGACAACTGGGCTGCGGCGGCGTCCCATTATTCTTGTCGTCTGCCTTGTTCGAGGCTTCTTTTCAGTGTCCTTGGGCATATGTAGCGTTGGTGTGTCTACGATTAACGCCAACGGAAAATTCGGCCGGTTTTTTCGAGTCTGCATCGTTCCTTTGTACTCATAGATTTGATTCGTATGTCGTGTACAGAACTCTTCCCAATTTTTGTACAACTTCTCCCGGCTCCCATCGGTTCTTCTCGATGTAGGATTTAATGAAAACTTCGTCGCCAATATTAGAGCTCCGGATATTTGGATTTTGACTGTGCCCGTTCACTAATTTGGATGGTAACATGGCGTTGAAAACGGTTCGAATACGCCTTTTGAACATGGCTTCGGCAGGGGACTTACTATCTGGAACATTTAGGTTCGGAGTGGCTCTGTAGGATGTTAAAAATTTTGTGATTACCCGTCCAGTTGTCCCTTCGCCTCCCCCTTTCAGTAATGCTCGTTTAAAGGTGTCCACAAAGCGTTCTGCCTGTCCGTTCGATTGCGGATGATAGGGCGAAGAACGAAGATGAATTATTCCATTTACGCTACAGAAATGCTTAAACGATTCTGCGACGAACTGCGAGCCATTATCAGCCATTAATGTCTCTGGCCAATAATGAGGTTCGCATTTCAAAGGATTTTCAGCAGCTTGAATGCATGACGGCCAATAAGCGTAACTACGAGCCAACGATTTCATTTTATTGATTCCACTGTGAAACTGCTTGAGAACATTGTGACGTAATACCTTCGGAATAACAATTCGATCACCGAACATAATACACGAGTCGACAACCATTAGTGAGTCTCGTCGACGAAAATATCGCAAAAGTTCTCCGTCAAGGCGATTGTTTGGCCATTTGGTCGAGAGATAGCATTTAACTGTGTCCAATATCTTATTACTTTCAGTGATCTTCTTGATAGTTTCAAAGGTTAATGGGAGTCCATTAATTGCGTCATCCAATACGCGATGGACTTCTTTCTCAGCTATTATATTTGCTACAAGAGTCTCCTCTAAGGTTTTTGATTGGGAGCCTATTAATCTTGACAATGCGTCAGCTTGCCCGAAGGCGGTAGTAGACTGATACTTGACCTTGAAGTCGTAACCCAGAAGTGTGGTTGCCCATCATTGGAGTCGGTTAGCTGTATGAACAGGAATTCCTTTCTTTGACCCAAAAACTGCAAGTAGTGGCTTATGATCTGTTATTGGGGTAAAATGTCGACCATACATCATCTTGTGGAACTTTTTCACTGCAAAGATAATTGATAGGGCTTCCTTCTCAATGTGACTATAGTTCCTTTCGGTCGTTGTCAAAGATCTGGCAGTGTGGGAGATAGATTTTTCAGACCCGTTAGGAAAAATGTGAGATGATTGCGCCCACACCATAGTTAGAAGCATCTGAAGCAACGACTATCGGTAGCGAGGGATCATAATGTGTCAATAAGAAATTGGAAGTTAGGAGTTGCTTGATTTTCTCGAAAGATGCTTGACAGTCCGCAGACAATTCCATCTTGTATTCGTTTCTAGTAGGGGGTTTAGTGGAGCACATAGACGATGGAGATCGGAAAGGAAGATACCATAATGGCTGACCAATCCCAAGAACGATCGTAGGGTAGTAATGTCCCTGGGTCTAGGGATTGTTCTCACAGCTTCAATGTTCTCTGGATCTGGTCGTCTTCCGTCTTTATCTATTATGAATCCAAGATATCGTACTTGCTGCATATAGAAGTCACACTTTTCCGCTCAGAGGCGAAAACCATAATCGGCTATGCGTTCTAGTACCTGGTCCAGTTTCTTCTGTAGGTCCATTTTTTCTGTTGCCATAATTATGATGTCGTATAAATAATCTGCTGCCCCTGGAATACCTTGTAACATGGTATTCATAATTTGCTGGAAAATAGAGGGCGCCGTTTTCACCCCAAAAGGTATTCGGTTATACCGGAACAGTCCTTTGTGTGTGTTGATCGCTAGGAGATCTTTGCTTTCATCAGATACCGGGATTTGTAGGTATGCGTCTGATAAGTCCGATTTCGCAAAATATCTGCCACCGTTCAGCTTAGCTAAAAGATCTTCCGGCAAGGGTACCGGATACTGGTGAGACTATAGAGTTTCATTTAATCCAGTAGAGTAGTCTGCACATAGACGGATGCTTCCATCCGACTTCTTGACCACCACTGTTGGTGCAGCCCAGTTTGAGAAGTTCACAGGTTCGATAACACTCATTTGCTGAAATCGTTGTAATTCTTGTTCAACTTTTGGAAGACCAGCATAGGGTACAGGTCTTTTAGGTCGAAAAACGGGAGTAGCTGCAGGTTTTAGAGTTAGCACTGCTTTGGCCTTCGTACATTCCCCCAATCCTTCTTTAAACACGTTTTGGTGTCTTTGTAGCATGGCATTTTTCTGGCTCCACTGTGGGGTGTTGTCAGTTCTGATTCGTCTGCAGATACTGTTAATAGAATGGTCTGCTAGTTTAAGTGTTTCTATAAGATCTAACCCCATTAAGTCGAGTGCTGGTTTCTTTGTAAGATATACTGTTGCATTTGTTGTTGCAGTACCTTTAGAAACAGTGCACGGTACTTCTTCAACAATGTTTAACTTCCCCCTCAGACGCACTGTGTGCCAGCTGTGTTGTTGGGAAAACTGTGGGTCTTCCAATGTTCTTCCATGTTTCTGGGCTGATTAGAGTAATATCAGAAGCTGTATCAAGCTGAAGGCGAGTACGGAGTTTAATAATACCTAAGGTTACGTATTTTCTTTGGCGGCAATTTCGTGCTTGATTATGTGATACCAATATTATTTTCGTTAATACGCCAGACCTGTATTTCTTGAAGTAAGGTTTTGCAGAATATCTGCTCCATATAAACTTCTAGTTGCTCCAAAGAAATATTCATTGTAGTTCTCCCGAAAATTCTGGAATGCTAGTATAGTAATGCCAGTATAGTAATCAGCTAATCAGAAACTTCTCACTTTCTTGATGTTTCTGGCTAAACTTTAAGTGAACGCTGGTCGGATAAAATGCTTCTTAGTGTTTCCTGAGCCTTTCTTGTGTTTTGCAAGAAGTTTTCTGGATCACCCCAACAACTATAAATATCGACCAACGCTTGATTAAATCGAGTTGGCTCGCTTGCCATCTTGACTGCGCATCATTTCGTTGCGCTTCGCTTTGTTTCGTTTCTCTGATCGTCTGTCTGGATCAACGATTGTATGAAATATGCGTATTTAAAATCCATTCTTGTATTTGACTTACTTAATTCTGTTATTCGCTAACGCGATTTAAGCCAATGAAAATATATGAGGGTTGGCGACATGCATATTCCCATAACAATCATTCTTATGATGCAAATGGTGTCAGATAAAGGGCCACTCAAGAGTTGGCCACAATAAACTCAATAAGAAGTGTGGAAATCAGTAACCAAATAACACAGATCCAAGAATCAAAGGGCGTACGGGCAGGAAGCGTACAGAATGGGTTTTAAAAGTGTTAACTAACGTCAAGCTCAACAGATGATGGAACATCTGAAACTGTTTTTACTGTCAACCACAGTATGTATATAAAAGCATAAATGTAGATTGGTAAGTATAATTACGTGTGTTTATTTATCATAAACAAGAAGTCACTAAGTGGATTAGATACTTTATGATTAGCAATAAGCTAATCAACAAAACATTTCCGATAAAGTACGAAGAAATAAACGCTAATTACCATCATGTCGATAATATATATACTAAGTGATTGGGTCCTTTGTTTATCTACGAATAAACAAACCAAACCAGTATATTCAAACCCCTGATGGGGTTATGGGGTTCATACTATACTGAGTCGCATACTGGGACGGAAACAGCCGTATAGTGTCCCGCTGAGTTTTAGTAATAACACAACTGACATTAAACCGTGAAGAAAACTACCTACGAATTGAAATGGTCTCAACGAAACCTCTCAACAGACAAAAAAATCATACTTTAGATTGAATTTTGTTTGAAAAAATACATGGAAAAATATCATATTAACAAATGGTCATTCATTCGATAATCACAATTATATCCTTTAACAAGAACATTTATTTTAGTATTAAAATGTGAATAAATTAAGACTTCAGTTAAAACAAAAAAGTTAAGTATAATTTTACATACTTTTACAATTGCTGTTCTTATCCATTGATGATGGATCCTCTTGAATGCTTGATTTATTATCAGCTTCAGAATAAACAGGATTTTCTTCATTACGAACAGTTGGTTCTTTATCTATAAAATGATAAACTCAGTAGAAATATTTACAGAATTTATGTGTTGGTGCATTATTCTTTTAGAAGAACGATTTATTATTTGAGCTCTGTTTATCTACACAACATTTGTTTAAAAAATCACTTGACATTATTTTTTTTACCTCAAGTTGTCTGATAACTCATTTTAACAACATCAAATTTAAATACCTATATATCTTCGATTTCGAAATTTTGAATCTTTTATAAAGGGAATCGATTCTTTCTAACTGAATCACATTTTCATTATCTAGTCCTTTTTTACTATCACTGCTACTCTTGTTTTCATCTTGCTATGTTGACGCAGTACAACAATTTGTGTTGATGTATAATTCTACCAGATTATCGCATTACTTGTAACTGACTGACGATAACAATGAAACTACCGGTAATATTCAGTTACAACTTATGTCTACAGGATAAGCTATTAGCAGCTACCTGTGGAAAAATATCTCTAAAAAAACACTTTTTCTGAAGTCTGTGTTGATGATATTGTCTAGAAACGCTATAAAAACTGAAGTCATTTTTTGTCCCATATATAAAATCTACTTACATCGTGTTGTAGTTGATGAGCATCTACTTTGATTGAATTGAAATTGTGAATGTAGATGATCTAAAGGATAAGGGCAATGCTGATTTGGATAGCCCATTTCAATTAATTTATTCAATGACGGTTGAGTTTCCCGTACAAACCCTTGTTTATTATTATTTTCATGACTGAAGCTGGCTGAATTAATCATTGTAGGAGCATAATTTTCCTCTAAAATCAAGAAAGATGAGTTTAAACAAACACTGATATCTAAAAAATAAACCTGTAATAAGTCTATATGAATTGATTAAAAAGTAATCATGTAATGTAGCTAATTGGTTTACACACCCGACATTCAACGGAGAGTTATAAGCAATAAATTCTTTTACTCCTCCAATTGTTTAGGTTTTGTTTGTTGGTCAGTATCACATACCTTCAGATAGTCACTCATAAACAATGTAGAATCCGACATAAACGAAGATAGATCGACTGTGAATTACGTAACCACAAAAACCCTTAACCTTTTTTAGAATCTAATACAACTTAGCACATATCATTTTACGGAAAGCAAACATAAAAATTTTGATATGCGAATGAATCAGTGCAGTAATTAATGCTTCAGGAGAAAATGGGACTTTAAGCAACTACACTGAAATGATTTATGGAGCGAAAGTTATAATATGGAGGAATATCAAATAAATTACCGCAATATTAATCGGACAAAAAGAAATCATATTAAAATAAACTTAAGAAAATGATCATCATACCAATAATGATAGACCAAGTTTACGTAATAGTTTGGATGAGTAAATTCAATTTTTCGGATTTTATTAAGATGGTTAAAAAGTCTAAAAACAATGATTAAACTGAGCTTTTTCGATAAGACGCTAAATTCAAGTGCCAAAGGTAACAGCCAGTACAAAGTGGAGCAAAACTTAGACCTCTAAACAGTACATATGATAGCATATTTAATATTACTCCACGGATAAAACTCAAATAATAGCCACTTCACATCTACCAGAATGAAATGATACCAATAGAAGAATGTTCCAATTAGATTATTCAAATTAAATGAATAAAATAATCGTTTAGAACTTAACAATAAAATTTTCTTTATAATATATTTGACTAACTGAGCCTCTTAAAACATAATCGTCGACCATAAGATTGACAAGAGGTCAGAAGAATTCAACCTCTTCACCGAAGAATATCGAGTAAATCATTTACCGATATCCCTTACACTAGGAAAATGTTTGTTCACCGATTACTTTGACATTGCATGGTTATTCACTAGTATATCCCCCTATGTAGATCATGCTTCATACCTATCTTTGTTAGTTGTTTTAAACTGGTGTAGTTGGTATTGAGTACAACCAAAAACAAGTTTTAATCGTCAAACAAAAATTTCTGTGTCACTATATGTTTATTAGGCTAGCGAGTAGTAAACCATGTAAGGTTTTAAGTTATGATTTGTTTTCATTGATAGTAGCTTACAGCTAATAGAATGCGAATGACAACTCTGAGACTGTATTGTTAAGTTGATAGTTTTGAAATGTTTTCCACTTACCAGGTTGACTAAGGAAAGAAAATTACGTTATAAATACTACGTTGATGAGACATAGAGATAACTTTGTTGTTCTGTATACTTTTCTTCCAGTGATTTATATGTGCAGTTCACGGGCAAAACATATTGTGAACACTGACAAATCTTGCCAGTTATCATTAGAATAGCGCTTAAATAGGCATTTAGTCGATTCATTCAAACATTCTATTTGAAATATAAAAAATAAAGGGTTAACTAGAAGAACAAAAAATGATCGCCTTACGTTTTATAAAATTGATCATCTTCATGACGTCATTTTCAGGAAACAAAGGTTTGCAAATTGGTTGTTGAGTCCCGTTAACAATATTATTATTATTATTATTATTATTATTATTATTATTATTATTATTATTCATGATATTCACAGCATTCCAATCCCAAGAACTGAAATTGTAAGGAGTACTTTGACGGAGCAACTGTTGTTGCTGATATTGCAGCTGACCAATTTTACAATCTCGTTCACTGGTATTTGTATTTATGGTGGCAGAGGATGCAGTAGAAATCATACTAATAATAAAATAATACCGGAAAAAATATAATGCAGAGGATAAAAGGGAGCTAAAAAATATGGAATCACGTATGCAAAATGTGAAATGTATAGAAACAATGCGAATAATAACGATAGCAAAAACAATTAGATGGTTTAAGACAGGTTAGGGACTGGAACAAACCCAAACTTTATAGCAGCAATATATAATATTTACAAAAATAAAGGCATACGGTTTTTCTTACACGGCAAGTAAGAGAATTCAGGTGTTACGTGCTTTAATATGCTCAAATGTCTGGCTGGATATAACTGAAACATTTTTTAGGTTAACAAAGAGAGTCTATAAAGAACGGCAAAATAAATTACATTTTTAAAAGTATTTAATTAACATACCTAAAAACTGGTAGAAATGGGTACCAAGATAAAAACAGCCAAAAAAAAGATTTCGAAGAGGTGGAGGACGGAGGCTAAGTATAATCTAAATACATAAGTGAACAAGAGCAGTATATAACAGAAAAAGGAGCTCAGTTAAGAAAAATGGAACCAGAAAGAATCCTTTCAGTCAAGGAAGTTCTCTCTTCTAATAGTTAAAGAGCCTTACAACAAGATCGCCATTGGATTTTATTTTGAGCCATGTCTGATAATGTCTCAAGCCACTGAGTTACATCATCTATCGGACCCTAACCAGAGAGTCCTGATGGATCGACATATACCAGTCAATAGTTTGGACGTAATCGGAAGTAGAGTTTACCCCCAATAGTTGTTGCATAGATGATATAGACCCTTTCTAAAGATGACAACAACAATCGCGTCAAGATGATGGAATACATTGTTTCTCAAGCAACCTAGTCAGTTCTCTGACCGGAAGGTTGCTACCATTATTAGAAAGAGCTGGGGGTAAGTCATGTGGACCTGGTGATTTTTGGTGGTTCAGGATCTGAACTTTCTCGAGGGCCTCCACCTCGTCAGATGGCTCAACCGGTACCGGCTAGAGAGGACAGAACAAACTGGTTGATGCTACCGGGGCAACAGACCAACTTTACTGTCCGATGAGCTTTAAGTTGTAAGGAGCCTTCATAAACCCAGTGCTTATAAGCTGAATGTTTTGCCAAGCTGCAAGAGACGTAATCCACCATTTTCATGACGTCGTGGAAACTAATCCATAGGACGGCGAAGAAATGTCGGAAAACGCACTCCCGTGGTAGCCGGGAATCAAAGATATGTTTGTGGGTCTTTCATCTCCTCGCGATCTTGGAGCGTATGCGCACCATTGATTCTAAACAATGGTTTGTCAACTCCCCTAGGTAAATCCTCTATATGTACCAACTAAGTTTGAACCGTGGATGTCCATTTTTCATCCTTTCACTTTCGTAAATAAACTCCCGTTGTGAATAGGACTCTCCTTCGGAGTGGTTGTAAACGCGTTGCCATATGAACGCATTTCGAAAGGGAGAGTGAACTCGTCTCACCTTCGGTCGTACCAGGGCATTTGGGAGCAGAAAAAATGTAACCTATTCACATAACCACTAAAACTAGTGTACAAGTATTATATTGGGCCTCCGAACTAAAGCGAAATCGAAAACACTAGAGAAGAGTAACAAACATTGATAGTGTAACTCCAGATTTTTTAAGAATGGTGGTCTAGGACTTTCAGTCGGGTTGGTTGATACAATGCTTAGAGTTTCGGAACGGAGTAATTTCGTCGGACTGGTCGAGTTCATAAACCATCCGAGGGAATAGGGAAAAAGCTTTCCTTTTTTATGAGAATTATCGTTCTAAAGCCGATCCACCTGGCACGGTAGGACCTAAAGAAGTGAGTATTTTAGTCGATATAGCTCGATCGTGTTATCGCGACATGTAAGCCCAACCTCTATGCCAAGGTAGCAACTATGGTCGGGTAAAATCACTAATAGGGATACTTCTATAAGCTAAAGGGCTTTGTTAATAAAGTCACTGATGATACACTCATCACCATATTCAATGGAACCTTTAAAGAATATTGCTGTGCTACTTTAAAATATTTCTCTCACTTTAATGATGTCTAACGAACGAGTATAAAATCCAAATGTCATTAGAGAAACGCTATAGTTATGCCCAAATAAGTGAACATTAAGTAAAATCACAATTCCTTAAGCTTTAACACCTAACGGATGTACAGAATATATGCATATATGAAGATGAATTCACAATTATTCATTTTTGTCTAATTTTACTATCCCCAATTTTCAGTGGAGGCATTTTCAGCCCTTAACTCTCAAGGGGAGAATATGTCGAGTGGCTTGAGTAGTATGCAGAGAAATCCAGTCTTATAAATGCGTTATGTGGAAACTTAGAAATAATGGGTATGTAATTAATCGGACTAGACTAAATACAACTGAGATTATACTTTGATCAATTTAACTATGAAAATTGAAACAATTATTAGCGTGCCACTTAAGCCGAATTTAATTTGGTGACAATCATCGAGTCAGTTTAAGAGAGAGGGCTAGTATGACTTCAACTCAGGCAGCAAATGAATAGATGAAAATAGGGTAGGGCTGTACTATACCGCCGAGCCAATGGTGAGTGTACAAACCTCTTAAAGATCATAGTACATATATTAAAATACGGTTAGAAACTAGTGTTAGGGATTATGTTTAGGAGTTATGGTTGCAGTTTTTATCACGAGCTAACATCAGCTACGACGCAAGAGTCTGAAACTCCATATACCTATCACAAGTCTTAGAATAACATACTAACAATTTATGTTTTCGGTTCCCTGGCTGGTCAAACGGATTTAGGACTTCAGGTCGTTTAGTACCGAAAATAAATAAGTCAAATTAAATGCTTTTCGAAGTCTCCTTCCAGTTTTATTTTTTTGCAAAACGAAGAATCACCGTGATCAATTCGTAGACACTCAACTAACATGAACTATCAGAATTATGTGATATATTTGCGCAATACATTTCGAACAATCTGACCACCCATATACTTGTTAAGACATTTTTATATGAAAATTAATAGGTCAACTAGACAGGTTAAAGGTAAGCCGTAACAAAGAAAGAAAATTATTAAAGTACACAAAAACAATGTGATTACCACTCTGGATAATAAATCAGTATTACCAGGGTAGGTTAAGTATCCAATTCTATCAATGTGTCGGTCACCTACACACAACCTTGCAAAATGGCTTACAAAAGTATTAAACCCTATCCAAAATCAATATTGTAAGTATTCCTTGATTGACTCATTTGAATTAATTAAGTACTTAAAGGACATAAATATAAAGACAATGACAATGTGCTCCTTTGGTGTGAACACTTTATTTACAAATGTACCTCTTAGGAAAACTACTGATATTTTGTGTGACTATATCTCTTTGAATAACCTCCCATTGTCATTTCCTGTTAAAACTCTTAAAGATTTATTACAATTGTGTACTGAAAATGTAAAATTCGCTTTTGAGGGTGAGCACTTTCGACAAATCGATGGTGTAGCTATGAGTAGCCCTTTAGGACCGTTGCTAGCTGATATGCTCATGGGATATGTTGAAAATCTATCTGAAGACTTTATTTTGAAGAAGTTTCTGTATAAACGGTATGTTGATGATGTCATGATCATAGGAAATAAAGGTGAAGATGTAAACCGCTTGTTAAAAGAACTCAATACAAGTCAAAGGCACATCTCTTACATGAGAATAAGAGAAGAACAACCAACTTCCTTTTCTAGACATCCTGATTAGTAGGAGAGATGATGGTTCCATCAGACGTTCTATGTATAGAAGGCCAGCATGGATAGGGCAGTATCTTAATTTCCGTAGTCACTGCCCAATTCATTACAAACGTGGATTAATAAGGGGCTTATTTAATAGAATCAATCGTATTTGTACTAGCGACACTATTGAAGTAGAGACGAAGCTCCTGACTAATACGTCAATGAATAATGGTTATTTATTGAAGTTCATAAACCGCTGAAAGGGTTGCAATATGACTAGACAAATGACACTTCTGGCACCCAAAAAGCGAGTTCACATTATGTTACCATTTAGAGGCGACATAAATAGTCCCATGTTGAAACGGAGACGATCAATTTACATGTATGTGCGTAAACACGTACACAGGAAGGAGCAATCGTGATTTGCAATTAAGGATGGGTGAACACATACCAAAATGGATGTGTAAACAGATGAATTACAATGGTAAAATCTGATCACACAATAGACAGACATCATCCTCCATTGCGAAACATTTGATTGAGACTGGTCATAAGGTTGACATCAAACCAACACTTGTAGTGTTATACAAAAGCCTTTAAGGACGTATACTAAGGTTTATTGAAGCATTGGCTATACGGAAACTGAAACCCCCTTTACGCGTTCAAAAACAATTTGTCCTTACACCTAAACTACCCTGATAATACTGATTTATTATCCAGAGTGGTAATCACATTGTTTTTGTGTACTTTAATAATTTTCTTTTTTTGTTACGGCTTACCTTTAACCTGTCTAGTTGACCTATTAATTTTCATATAAAAATGTCTTAACAAGTATATGTGTGGTCAGATTGTTCGAAATGTATTGCGCAAATACATAACATAATTCTGATAAACTTCGTTTTCTCACCGCATTATCGAAATATATCAAGGGGACTAACTGTTTTTAATAACATGAACTAGTCGGGCTATATCCTTAAACAGGCAGGAACAGTTCGTTATTTTCTACATTTTAAATCCTTCGGTATTAATTCGGAGATCCACTGCTCAAACTACCGGTCGATTTTTGTTCGCTGTTTTGCCAATTATTAATCTTAGAGACAGCTTGTGAAAATTCAAGATAGTGCCACTAAATACAATACGTTTCATCCTAATTATACAGTCACAAACTAGTTAATGGACCCCATATTAAAGCAAAACCTGCAGAAAGACGTGACTTCAGATTAAAACTAATCATTTATTTATTACAAACCCAAAGCAATCTCTAGTGTATTATACATTGCTCGCGCTCTCAACTCCATAAAACCTAATAAACTTGTTGTAATAGCACAACAAATCTCTGGTCTCCGTTACTCGGTTCGTAACATTTTATGCACAGGTTAACTGTTTATATGCTTTGAGCCTCGAATGGAAGTGACCATCACAAAGTTTACCGATTTTGTTTAGCTTCCACCTAAAGTATGTGGTTAATCTATGCTGACAATATAATAGTGTTTACAAGGCTGAAGGTCTGGTTCAGTAAAAACTTAATATCTCGCATTTTGATAGAGAATAAATTTAGCTTTAAACAGAATAGAAAACGTACCCCTTGCCCACAAAGCAGTGCAAATTACTAAAATCCATTTCAAACACACATGATCAGCGACCTTCAAAACGTTATAGCGCCTGGTGAAGTGTTGATATCAAGTATTCAATATCCAATACCTTTGTCACGAGCTTGTATAAACCGACTCCAAGGTGGGACCGTGTACACGTTTTGAACAGTGTTAGGAACAACTCAGGGGGGATAGCATCATGTTGTCTTAGCACAAAGTCAAAGTTTGCGTTTACCTTTGCTGCGTCCCCTATGTGGTTTGAACTAGTCTCGAGGCTCTCTTTGAGTACAAGCCCGAGACCCCGCTCTGAGGGGACTGTCGGAAGTGGGATTCCATGGAAAGCGTATGTGCTTTGTGTCGAATGGGGAGGAATGTTCATGTTCACGTAAACTATGTGCCTCGGTATTATACATCCTGTTCACTATAAAGTTTCACGGTCAGGATAAAAGGGAGTCAGTGAAACCCAAATTTTTAACCTTCGATATGAAAAGTACATGAGATGCTGTGTTAAATAGATTTGCGAAATCGAGCAGCATTACGTGAACCAATATCTTATGTCCCAGAATGTCGTCTGTTCTTCCTATGCTATGAGCAGACTGGACGAACAGGACCAGTCTTTCCCGAACCCGTGTTCGACTTTATGGAGGATGTTGTTTTTATCCACGTATCTCCTGATTTGTCCATCGATCAGTCCTTCCATTACCTCCAACATTATTGGCAGCAATATTACTAGTCCGTAACAGGCTAAGTTTTTGTATCACTCCCTTTGAAGATTGCAGAAAGTAACCAGCTTCCATTATCTTGGGAACCGCGTGTGAATCTAGTGAGTGCTTGAACAGGTCACGCACCAGTCTGGCGGTAGCCTCCGCTCAATGTTCCAGGATTATAAGCCGAATGCTGTCATATCTTGTTGACTCTCCTGAGCTCAGGGATTTTCGCGTCTTCAATACTAACCTGGGATTTCGTTGAATATTTCCTAGATACTCAGCTGGCACTATAGTTGAGAAACATTTCGCGTTTTCAGGCTCCTGGTTTAGATGGTCTGTAGTGGCATTGGACAATAGCCACACAATCCACAAAACTGTGAACACTACTCAGAAAATAGATATTCAATATTTAACACGGAGAAATACCTAAGAATGGAGAAGGCGCAAACAATGAATTGAATGAATTGGAGTTGATCGGATGGCATGGCTCGGCCATGCAGGCGTGGTCCATCTGAATGTTACCTTATACCTTCTATTCATATTAAATATATTGTTCCTTCCCTAGCCTAACCTTGTTCTACATCATGTATTGGTAATTGATACGATACAGTGAGTTGGTGTAGTCGATGGTGTGACTTCCACGTAAGATCTTATAGATTAGGCAGTTATATCATGACAAATCTACAAATTTAGGATTAGGTCTATTATTAACGCAGTACTAATATCATAGTAGACCATAGTTCTACAGGTCTATCAAGTTAGTATTAAAGACATCTGAAATCTCTAAGTTAGATAGATCTTTGTTATTTGACTCTTTAAGAGTACAGACCCCTTGATTTTTGAGTTCCCTCTTGGTCATGCGTTTGTAATGATATTTACGATTAGCTTACAATTTGGCTGATAACTTGGTCTAAAAACATTTATCGCCTCGGACTTAGGCATTACATCTGTTTTTCAGTGCCAAGTATGAGTTACGATAAGAACTTCTCAGTCAGACTTTCCACTTGAATAAACTACATAACTAGTCAAAACACTTCAAACAACAACCTGAGTAAAAACCATAGGACGGATGTTGCTGTAGAGGGGCATCAGATGATGAGACAAACCATCATTTACCTCTGTAGCAACGTAACAGAACTAAAGGGTTAAATAGGAGAAATCAGAAACATGTGATTTCAGTTATGCATGAAGATCACCGTCCTAACTGGAACATGGCTAAATCCAGACATCTTAGACGAAGAATCGAGCTTGCAGGGAACGATATTTTTGTGATATTATTAGTGTACAAAAGAATGAGGTGGAATGGCAATATACTGTAGGGACCTACTTTTATCAAGAAGACGCGATTGGTGTAATGAAAACAATTATTATAACCAATTGTGCCAGCGATTATTTTACTGTAGTTGTTTGTTTAACTGTACCAAAATACACACATTCTTTCGTTGATTGTGACCTTGCATGAATTCGGTTACGCTCAGTAACCACATTAGTTACCCATCACGATCTCGTTATTCTTTCGATACCCTGAGATCGCCAACAAATACGTCTCGACTACAGCCTACTGCCTTCTGATACTTGACCTACGGGGAATCTTATCGGTTAACTGGCACATAGTCTTCTTAAGGTGGTGATCATAGTCAACCGCGACTGGACGCCACACTACAATACATTAACAGAAACTGCAAAGCCGTAGCCCAGTACTGAAACAATCGAGGTAACAGAATCATGTTGGTGTTGCTTCAACGTGAAGATTAAGAAGTACTTGACTAGAGGAGTAAACAGATTCCATGAAGGTTTTAACGCCCAAAAAGAAGAGATATCAAAGACGATACTGAAACTATAGTACCTGGGGTTTGACCAAATAGCAAAGCTGTCCTCAGCAAACAACCTGATTCAATACGTCTTACCATCCACGCTCACGAACGTAAAATACTGGTTGCATGCGCATTTTGAGCTTCCAGTTTGACTGGCACTACTATTAGTGAGTCATTTACTAGGACTGCCTCCATTGATTTTACCTTCAAAATTATATATGGTGATTTTGACCTTCCAAGCATCAAATGGAAGACACACTCTGACCCACTATGCTTTGAAGGCTTATTAGTTCCTTAGACATACACGGTTGGCAGCAATATGTAAACCCGTCAATACGAAACTACGATATTCTCTATTTGATATTCCATCACAATGCCATACCGACATTTGTAGTTGTTGGCGAAAAGTCTCACAACAACAATCATAAAATATTCCTCTACACTATGCGTTTTTTTGCGAAATCCAACAAATCCAAGACGATAAAAACGCGTTTTCAATATAGACTAATCACACTAAGACTTTCGATTTCATTTTAAGCATTCTAATTGGAGCAGTTTCTCCACTGATGATAAGCTTTCAGAAACAGTAGAAGTATTCCATATTACCACGAAATTCGCAATAGACGTTACTATCTCCTTTAAAATTACTTTTAAAACAATTATATCATATGTCAACCAGAATCTAGGTCGAATCGGTAAAAACTAAAACGGATGTATTATATGTCAAAAAACTTCGATGCCATTCACCAAGTATACTCTGTATTGAAGGAGTGTAAAGTCAGCACAGTAAGCATTGGAACGTATTGCGCTCACTTCCGCATGTAATGCCCAAAACTTATCTCATCTCCACAAAAAGCTTTTTAAATCCCATGTGAAGTCGAATTCTGCTGGCACAACTAAATTCTTCATAGTTAACGGACGCATTGTTGACGACCCTGATATTATTTGCGAACAATTCAGCCAGCATTTCTCGCAATGTTACAAAACTGGAACTGAAAACTCTATCAATACACCTCCAATACTGACATCCAGACACCTATCAAAAGTTGATTTCATACTCTCCAACATCAAGCAGGCCATAGCTGACCTCAAAAAGTCATATGACGGTGGACCTGACGGGGTACCTTCATCATCTGTAAATAAGGTAGTAGAGAATTCTCACTATTTTGTTCTAAACGTTTCAGCCTATCTATGGAATATGAGACCTATCCATCCGTATGGATAACATCTCTTATCACCTTTAAATTCAAAATAGGATCATGTATTGATAATGCTATCAAGAACCATGGAAAAAATCATCCACTAAAAGCTGTTATCAATTTACTTTTGGCTAGTCTGATTAGCCCATCCCAACACGGGTTTATGACTAAACGCTCATGCTTCACATCGCACCTGGAACCTTTTGATCAAACCACACAGAGAAGAGATGTTGATCAGTCAGTGATAATCCTGTACTTGGATTTTAGTAAAGCTTTCGACAATGTCTCACACAAACTTCTTCTAAAACTCTCTTCATTTAGCGTACAGAATCCCCCTTTATCTTAGCTCAAATCGTTCGCTTTGGATCTTGCTTCTCTAAACCTGTGAATGTAACCAGTGGGTTTATACAAGGAAGTGTGATTGGTCCATTATCCTTCCTCCTTTTTATCAATGATGTGTATTCCCCTCTTTCAGTATGGTGAACGTTTCCCTTTTGCCGATGACCTCAAAGTACTTTATTCATTCTCTTCTCCCACGAAAGAAAGATATATTTCAGCGGTAATCCAAGAGGAAATACACAAGTTATACGAATGGACTGTTTCGTGGAATTTGTCACTTAATGTTGACAACAATGAATTCATCCACATCGGCCGCTACCATAACCTAAATCTGGCTATTTACAAACATACACTGAAACCTCTCAACACTGTTCGTTACTTGGGTTTAATATATAGCAACTGTCTGAACTTTTCCGAGCACAGTGCATCTCAAGTATCCAAAGCCAGAAAGCTCATCGGATTAATAATGATAAACTTCAATAATATCGAATCGAGATTGTTATTATGCAGAAAATGTATCTTACCCATTCTTGAATATGGTATTTTAGTTTACGGTAATTGCAGGCATAATGACCTGATTAAAATTGAAGGTGTTCAAAGAAGGTTCACCAATGTTGTTCTGGGGTATTCCGATAACAAAGACTATCACCAAAGATAATAATCAACAACTCAACTTAGAACCTCATTGGATCGGACGTATCAAATTAAATCCTATATTACCGTTTTAATAACGGTATTTCCTACTCTTCGGTATCCACCCCTTCATACCTTATGATATCATCCCACAATCTACGCAATAAGGAGAATATTCTAGCGATTCCAAGAACCTACAGAAACCTACGCCAGAATTTTTCCCTTATTCGCTACTCAACCATGTGGAACAGACTGCCAGTGAACCTCCGTCTCAATGAAACTAAAACCCGGTTCAGAAGTCTCCTTGATGATTTTCTCTCCGAAAGTGGGTTATGTCACCTATTGAATATCAATGTATTGAATAATGGTTTATACGAACAAGGTCCGTCATC